ACCCCACGCCGACTGGAGGTGCCCCTCGCTGCGCCGACCCGCTTCAGGGCGAATTCACACTGGAACGAACTCGCGCGCGGGCTATCTGCGCATGTAGTCTGTGTCGGGTGGCTGTTAGACCCGGCCGATCACCCATATACGACCACCTGCATGCAGACAGCTCCCTCAAACCATGACCTGATCCACGCGAGCTCAACCGATCTCCATTCAGAAGCGTGATTGCGTATGCGATTCACGCTGGTTTTAGCCGTAATCGGTGACGCCGAGATGCGCCAGAGACTCGTGACGAGCGATTGCTCGGTGGTCGTGCCTCAACTGACCTCATGTCGCCCGTCGTTCTTCTGCAGCTGGGTTCCGCGCCGGGCGACTACCAGGTGTCGTGTTCGAAGCCGCCGTGTCCCGACCTGGACTGTCCGGGCCGCGAGTACATGCCGTCGGGCGCCTGCTGCCGCGAGTGCCGGCCCGTCGCCAAGATTGAACCCCGCATCCTGGCCAGTACTTATAGAGGTGAGTGACGCGAAACATTGGGCATGGTGAGGCTGTAGTAGGGAGTTGATGCAGGGATTAATTGCATAAACTATTGTTTCATTTCTCGGTGAATATCGATGGCGCGAAGCTTCAGCGCAAAGCAGCAGCCCACCATGGTCAATCACTGATAAATATTCGTCCTCCACCGCAGGCGCAATGGGCGACGAGGCTCACGAAATGAGCCAGGAAGAAATCCTGCAGGCAGGAGGCTGCAGAAAGGGCACCATGGTCTACCGCAACGGAGACACCTGGCACCCACGCATCGCCACCATTGGACTGATGCCTTGCATCACCTGCAGATGTCGGGTAAGTGGAAATGTCTCCTTCTGGTACGGATGGGTGCTTCAAGGATTAGCAAAACTGGCTCAAAATTGGCTGTCCGAGCGGGTCAGACTCAGGCTTTGTTTTGTTTTCCGAGTTTAGCATGAGGGTAGCCCAGACAAGATTAGAATCATGGCGTGTTTCCGAAGTGGCTGTTATGCTCCACGTATTTGGAGTTGCTCAGTCACGCACCCATGCTAAGGCGCAAAACTGTCGAGACCGGCGGCCTGGAACATGCATGATACTCATCGCGTGAGCAGCGGCTCCATTTTCAACTATCTCCCTCATCTCCCGTCGTCGCGTGGCTCTCTAGTCGCGCCAGTACTGATGATGTCCGTCTCCCTCCGCAGGACGGCAGCAAGATGTGCGGCCGAACACGCTGTCCAGAGCTCAACTGCCGCAACACCAAGGAGGTTCCGGGCCAGTGCTGCCCGGTCTGCGTCGATCACAATAAACCGACCGAGAAAAAGGCCACCAGGCGGCGCCGCAGTCAAGTGTGAACGCCGCAGAGGGCGCCACCAGCGGGCGCCAGTGTCGAGCGCAGACTGGAAAGTACAAAGCCGAAACATTGCGTGCAATGTGACGAGGCGCTGGACGCGGCTGCGTCACAAATGACGTCACGGAATGCTGCCGTGACGTCACGTGCCGACTGCGGGCCGGCTCCGGCAGCCAGGCGGTCGCGCCGGGTCAGGCGGCCACCGGTGCTGTATTTATTCACTGTAATGTGTTGCCCTGGTGACACTACGCCACACGGCCGGCGCCAGGCGCGCAAACATGCATACCTGTACATAACTAGTGCCATAGCGGTAAGTGTCATTAGCGTCTGGCGGAGTGTTGCGCGCGCGGCGGCGCTGCGGGCTGGCGCGGGGCCGCCTCGTCCGCTCGGCCGGCGGACGGGCGGGCCTCGTCCTCGTCTCGCCTCAGCGCAGCGGTGGCAAGAAATGGAACTGTACGCTTATTGTTGGGTGCCGTCCTGGCGGTGGCAGGCGCCGGTCAATTATTTTTGTAAACACGCGTGTCCGGCGTTTGTTGGAGCTTGTGCGAGAGAGACTAGCGGGCCCCGAGCCAACGTGAGAGTGAGAGGAGCGCCATGAGTGAGTGAGAATGGCGCCGCTGGACGCGAGGTAGAGTGACAGAGACGCTGAGCGAGAGTGAGCCGAACCAGGGAACGAACTCTGCTGAACTCGAGCGAGGCTGAAGGGACAAAGGCTCACTTCCCTACCCTCTTGTGATCAGGAAACCACTTGTGACTGTGAGCGAGCTGACACGAGAATCGAAGAACTGCAACCGTTACTCGTTTTGTCGCGGACTGAACTGAGAATTTCGAGAGAAACAATAGTGTGAGCAGCCGATTCCGGCCGCCGGTATCCGAGTTGTTGTGCGTAAGCCGAGGCTTCGCGGCCGAAGCGGGCGTCGTCGAGTCAGATGTTGTTCTCAGGGTCGTCTGTTATAAGTCTGACAGTGAGATGGTCGGCGGTGTTTTGTGCAGCGTGCTGCTGCTAGCGAGCGCGCCGGGCACCGGCCAACTGCGCCAGTGCGGCACCACATTAACCGAACAGGGCTGCGAGCGTGGCGGCAGCGCGACGGTCCGCTGCCTCCGGGGTGCGTCCGGGCGTCTCTCGTCCCACCGTCCCTTAGAGAGGTGCCGGGCGCCCTGCGGGACGTCTCTCCGGAGTGGTCGGCTCTCCGGGACGTCTCTCCGGAGTGGTCGGCTCTCCGGGACGTCTCTCCGGAGTGGTCGGCTCTCCGGGCTGGCTCTCCGGCGGTCAGCTGGCCCTATGGCCGGCACCATGTGATACGACCGACAATAGGAGCGGGGGCAGAGCGCTGCACCGCCGCCGCCACGTAGTCGTGCCATGTAAAATACAGCCAGGCAGTCATATCGCGTGTGGGTGTTACTGAAAGAAAACAGAATGACTTCTGCAGGCACGTGGAGACGCCGAGTTTTGACAGCCACTTCATCAGCACATTCAGACTGAAAGTTAAATTACACATTCTGCATGTTGTATTCCAACCGATTCGGGAGATCTCCTCGGGGATTTAGCCAGTATTCCCAATCCCATCCTGTCGAAGGAGAGCAAGTCCGCTCCTGTTCTGACCAGGCAGTCGGCACACTTCGCATGCCACCGAAGAGGTCCAGGCCAGTTATCAATCGGTACCTAGTGATGAAGTCAACCCCATCTGGGGTTAGGGGTAGGTCAGCCTCTCTGGGGTCCGTCGTGAGCGTTTGAGTGGCAGAGCGGGCTGCTCCATCGCAACAGAGCACTGCCGTCCCACCGAGGCGCTCTTTGCCACCGTAGCGCACCAATCTGAATCGCTGGTGCGCCCAGTGACCCAGTCCGATGTCTCCACGATGTACTACTATTCGACAGCCCTGAGGAGTCTGCAGTGGTCTTACTTATTGAGACCGATTCAGCTCGATATCAGCCTAGATTCGGGAGGCCTCGTCGGATCGACTTGAAACCCGCACGCAACAGGAGCCTTGTGCTAGGCAGTAGGCAATATACGTTCTCCAAACCATTCAGTGGCACTCCAACTCAAGCTGTTCCAACCTTCGAACTACATCGAACGACATCCAATCCGATAGTGGGCCACCCACTACCCAGTGAAGTTCATTGCTAGGTCACGACACGGCGACACGCCGACACGCCGTGACCTAAAGCTTCTTTCCCTAATCCCGACGTCACGGTCCGGGTCACGGGTCAGACGACCTAGGGCCCGGCCAAAATGACTCCTCGGAAAGGAATAAGGATCATGTTGGTAGGCACTATAGTTGCGCATCAATTCAACCACACTTCTTATCGCACATTTCTCGTCCCATTACCATCCGAGATTGCAGCTATCAGTTACCCCAATAAAGAGAGCCAAGGCCCCCATAGTTTCCCCCACCGATCATGACTGACCTGTTTGTGCGGCTCCGGGTGGACGATCGCACCTTGATCGCGCACACTTCCGCAGATGAGTCAGATCAAAAGGCACGCTAAGAACTAGAAGTGATAAATTCGAAGACTGACTGAATTCGACTTCAAGTTCAGTCCAAGTCACACGCAGAATCGACACCGACACCACAAGCACAATCCACCCACGCACTCAGTGTATTCATGGTCGTCACTCTGCCCTGGTCACTCTCATCACTGCACGGCTTGACCGCACGCGCCACGTGGCACGGTATATAGAGAACTCCACGTGGTAACGCAACAATTCCAGCGCGCTGCGCCATGAAATGCAACGCAACAGCAGAAATAATTGCTAGAGCGCCGTGCACGTATACTGTGCCGCATTACCTCAACAGACCGCCTGGTGATTAGACTGTGCCGGCGCGTCGAACTCGAAACGTGGCGGATTCAGCGGTGGGGTGAGAATTTGTGGACGGGCCCGACGGGGCGGGGCCAGGGCAAGTCGTGGGACATACCTATCTGGCTGACGCCTTCGGCCTGGCGGATCAGTTGACTGACTGATGGCTTGGGCAAATAGGTTTACCAGTCCACAACATATATAAATCGGCATACCGTTATCGTTTTAGTTTGGGAATTGGGAGCGAGACGGACGGCCGACCAGCAACATTACATGCCCTAGATCGGCATTCGGTGGTACGGGGGGAGGGGACGGTTGTGTTGTAGAAACCGGAATCACCAGGGGGTATCACAGAACATGGTCTGAGTTTTGTCCTGAAGTGAACATGCTGAATGCGTACGTGGATGGGCGGCTTATCATTAGGTATTCATCCACCGACGGATGATTAACAGTTGTCGGTATGGCAAACCGGTGTGCGGCAGCCGGGACTCCATGAAACCTGCACCACGCCGTAAAGGATTCACACTTGTCCGTCGTTTCCATCCTCAGGATTATGAAATCCTTCTCTACGCCGCAACCCCCCCCCCCCCCCCAACTCCGGGCTGAACAGGCACCTTTATCTCATGCGGGCTGCCCACTTGGAGCGGCACCGCTGCTCTCGAGGGAGCGCACACAGTAGCCGGGTGCAGTGAGTGCCTTGGGGCTGGGTGGCCTGTCCTCTGGACGGGCTCAGCCCCGGCGACTCTCTAGGGTGTCTGCCCAGACCAATGTCTCCCTCTAATTCCTATCATCCTTCCGGCTCTGAAATGGTCTTGTCAGACCGAAAAGACCTAACCCAACAAAACAAACAAACGAAGTAAAGGATTCATATGTATTTCAAAATTCGTACGGGGCTCGTTTGAACAAACAAGTCGGGTCGGTCGTCACTGGAATTCACAGTGCTAAGTCGCCAACCGCAGCATGATAAATGCATTCCCAGTATAAAAATATTTTCTCACCAGAGTCATCAGTCCGTCTGTCTGCAATTATGACAGGTTATCAACTGTAGCTACGATATATCAAACAATGGACACAAACGCCGTTCTAAGACACTGGCAGTTAAGCGCACCAAGTCGGAATGTACGCTGGCTACCGCGAATGGAAGCTCTTTTCTTCTTTCAGGCACCACCTGCGTAATAACTACTTCATGTGCATAATAGTAACAGTGCGTGGAATGCGTAATAGTATATGCCATTATGCAATTTCAACAATGATTCAACGCCATAACAGGCACCTGGAACCGTAACAATGCCATAATCGTAAAGGTATCAAAATATGCAACATGCAGTAAAAACATCCAACAATATGTAAAAGTTGTATAGTTACGTTGCATTCGCACTCAGCTCAGCTCACGCTACTCCTGGCAAGGGTTTCATTGCATTTACATCCCGTGGTCCCGGCATTGGTCCGTCCGTTCGTAAGACCACCATCCTAATCATTCCGCCCCACCGGTGAGGTCGTTATTCACGCCACTTTCCTGGCTGGGGTGCCGAACTAGGCCTGAGCCTGGTCCTGAGCCCAGGGGACTGGAACTTCCCTTATAGCGCCCATAGGCGGCCAACGGCGTTAGGGGAATGAAGGCGCCGGGTGCCAATTTCTACTGTTCGGTCGGTTCTCAGTCGTCTCCGTTATTCTCGGAGCGGATTGGCCGGTGTCTCTGTCCGTTAGTAGCAGTAGATAACTGACTTTGCAATTTTGTTTGTGACTCTTCACCAAAAGTGATACATGTCCCCTTTTTAGCTTCAGCTTGCCCTATACTATTTCTCGCCTACAATGTAAGCGAGTCAACAGTCTTTTTGACATCTGCCAGCGCCTCTCGGAGACACTCGAGCACAAAGTCGACCTTCTCGTCGGTGGCATTGGCGCCCATCAGGCCGATCCTCCAGACGAGGCCGGCAGATGGACCCAGGCCGCCCGAGATCTCCAGCTTGTGCCTGTGAACGGGGCGTAACAGTGACGGCATAGGTGCAGTAATGCTCCATTCCGTCCCATGCAATATTAAATTTATATCGCCATCAATAGAGGTGATATACAAAATGACAGATGCTTACAATGAAATATATCGGCTTCTGATTCGCTAATTATTTCGTGCGAATTAAAAAGAAAATATATTCCGGTGTTTGTGAACGTTTTGCTAATGCACAGCCATGGAAGTTTGAAAACAACACATTTTACTACAACCAATGAACTGCTTTTTGCACATAAGCGATCTGACCTTTGACCGACCAAACAACAGTAACCCCTCGCCCGGTAACACTCACTTGGTCATGCAGTAGGCGGAGACCGCCTTCCAGTCGACTCCCTCGGGTACTTTGACCGTGGTCACCGTCGGCAGGCGGAACGTCTCGTTCTCCACAAACAACTTCAGTCCCATCTCGGCTAGACCGGCGTACAGTCGCTGGGCGCAGCGCTGGTGACGCTCCCAGAGCGACTCCAGGCCCTCTGTGCAGGCGATAGCCAGCGCCTCGCGCAGCGCGTAGATGCTGGAGATGGGCCCCGTGTGATGGTATCTGTGGGCGAGGGAGAGGAGAGAGAGAGAGGGCGCGGGTGAGACGGGGCAATAACAGCGGGGGAACTAGACCGATTGATGCAAACAGATTGTCCGTCATTATGAGCGAACATGCGTACACCCATTCGCTCTTCCCTCAATAATTCATTTGTTCATTACACTTATTCATTCTTCTGGTCAATCACTCAGGTCCGCATTCATCAGGGTTGGCAAGGGGTGGCAAAAACTGGTTTTTGCCAGTGGTTTTAACCGGTTTAAACCGGCTGGCAGAAATCCCGGTGGCAAAAACTGGCAAAACTGGATAAAACTCAGGTGGCCCAAACCACAACTTTTCTAGTTAGGAATGGATCTGAAATGTACAAATGCATTTCTGGATGTTATAGAGATGCACCAAACATTCTGAAGTTTGCCTCATTACTTATCCCTGCTTAAAATGTCTATGCATGTCGGTAGACATCCCCCACAGAATGCATTTCCATGTAGGGGAGAGTGGGGCAAAGCTGCCACGGTAGGGTGCCGTGCGCATATCAGTGGCAGATACCCCTTCGCACTTCTGATTGTGCAGGACTCACTCTTGCACTGGCTCATTTGTCAACCCCAAAAGGCGTCTTACTGGTTCCTTATGGAGAGCCCATGAAAGTGTTTTTGAGTTATAGAACACTTCAACGGTCAATGTCACTTCTGTTTGAAAGCATAAAGCTTTCACCGAATTCTCCTTAAAATGTTTCATGTTCAAATCCATGTCTAGGCATATCATTGTGATGGTTTTTAGTTTTTGCCAGTTTTTGCCACTTTTTGCCGGTTAAAGCCGGTTTAAACCGGCAAATGGCATAAACTAGTTTTTGCCGGCAAAAATGCCAACCCTGGCATTCATTCATTCATTCATTCATTGAGCACACCATCCATTGAATCATCTGATCATTCATTCATTCATTCATTCATTCATTCATTCATTCATTCATTCATTTATTCATTCACTCATTCATTCATTCAATGAACACAACATCAATTGAATCATCTGATCATTCATTCATTCATTCATTCCCAATCCGGTCCTTCCTGATTCAACCATGCACTCATTCAATCATTCATTCATCTATTCATTCCATACTTCCACCATTTATTCATTTCCCACCATTCATTCTTTCATTCAGTCATTCATTCATTCATTCACGTTTACTCACTTGCGTGGTCCTTCATCGCAACCCCAGTAGTTGGCCAGCATGGTTAGATCAAAGTAGAACGAGCTGATCGGCGTCTTACGGTTGATAATCTTCTGCCTGAAAAAAAACGCAGCATCGGTCAACCTTGATGAGTCATGGGTATAACGGATTGAATATGACATGGTAGATGACATGCAGCTATGCCCCAGCAACATACATATTAGCTACGGCTTATTCACATGCCTACATCTTGTTCGGTTTCGTAATGCCTGACCAAATCAAGCTTCAAGTGCAAATGCTTTGCACCAATCATGCATAAAATCATCATGTCCTACATCTTCTCTTTTAATATGTATGTCCCTGAGCCTATACACTATTTCCTCAACTGCAGAACACAATATGGTCTAACGCATGAAATATCGTAAGAAACAGCGAAGCAGTGCAGCCTGAAGCAGTATACGATATTCTTACGCAGTTCCCAGGCCCCTCCCTGTCCCATCTATCTCCTCATTGCTCACCAGGCGTTCTCGCTGAGTGAGATGGGTGCCGTGCCGGGCGGAGCGCTGAGCACCTTCTGTGAGCCCGTGTAGACCACATCCACACCCCACTGATCGGCGTAGAACGGCACCCCGCCCAGTGAGGCCACCGTGTCCACCACAAACAGACAGTCGTGGCTGTGGGAGGAGGGGAGGTCATGGGAGGTTATGGGATGTCAGTAGGAGGTCATGGGAGGTCAGTAGGAGGTCATGGGCGATCAGTGGAGGTCAGGAGAGGTCAATGGTGGACAGGGGCCATTGGCGGTCAGTTGAGGTCATGGGCGGTCAGTTGAGGTCAGACAACAACTGCTGCTGCTCCGACAAAAGAAACTATACTTAGGAACGAATCTACTTATTCCACTTGAGCTAAAACTACAGAGATCTTCACAAAAATAACTGACACCTTTTGTTTTCGAATTACGAGAAAACATTTGCCATCAGCACGACAATCATGGTATGGACAAATAGAATAGACTGAAGTTTTTATTCACGTATTCTGAAGACATATCATTTGTGTTTGCAAGAATTTACAACATATTTTGCAGATGACGAGTTTTTTTTTTCGGGCACTGCACGATTCATCCCGGAACAGGAAGATTCCCCTGGTTTCATGCAAATCAAGTGTCTATGAGATCTCACTAGGTCACAAAGTCGTTTTGAAATGTGTCAGTTTTTCGTGAACAATCCTGCAATTCCGGTAACGGCTTCTTGATTTACAAAGCCGACAACCCATTTAACAATGTCCTGCCGCGGTCACTATTTAACAACCTACTCCACTACAACAGTCAGCATGACTTACGCCTTGCAGACGTCTCCGATTCCGTTGAGGTTCTGCAGCACCCCGGTGGAGGACTCTCCGTGCGTCACAAACAGCACCTTGGGCTTGTACACGTCCAGGGCGGCACGCAGCTCCTGCAGGTAGAACCCCGAGCCGGCCGGCTCCTTGATCTGGTGCACCACGGCGCCTGCGGGGAGAGTGGGGGAGGGGTTAACGACTGCGTGGTAACGGCAGTGAGGTATGACGCAGTTGGGTAGGGATGTAGGGGCGGATGAAAGAAGCGAAGTGTTTGTAGTTCGGCTATGGATCCAGAAGAGCCTTTTTTGATATTGCGAGTGACTGAAAACAGTCACCTTTTTCCTTGTCACTTTCGTGTCAGAATAACTCTAGCAAGTAAATCTAGAGCATAATATTTGGATCCATGCTTGCACGCATAGTACACAGCCTCTCCGATAATATAACACAAAAGCTTACAACCGCACAAAACCGCCTATTTAATTCGATAGCCTTCATGTTGCACCATCGCATCTAGCTCCCATCCGTGACACTTATCCCACTGCATTCTCCTCAAGGGCACTGTCCCTCCCCTCCCTCGAAACGAACCCTGCCGCCGCGCCATGTCGGAGCTGCGCTCGCCCCAGACGCCATTATGGGCGATCAGAATGACATCATCCCGCTCCAGCAGGTTGGCCATGACGCACTCCATGCCGCCGTGGCCGGTACTGGAGAGCGCCAGAGTGACGCGGTTCTCCGTCTGGAACATATAGCGGATCCCGTCCTTGCAGTCGTCCATTATCTGAAAACGGACAGACAGAGCGGGTGTGGGTGAACTATCGAAATACGGAACGGTACGGGCTTCCGCGGGTTCAGTTTGTCATGAAGCGCGGACAGCTCGATTCGACAGATGACTTAAGTACGTACAGACTGTGAAAAACAGGCTTAGGGACTCTACAAACATTCCCCCTGTATCACGCTGCATTTCGATCTCAATAGTCCCTGAAATTTTACGACAAAGTAATATGTTAAACAAGTAATTACCCATGAAGATCAGCACAAAACGATTACTTGGCTTGACACATGCTGAGGACGAATCCGTCCAAACATATCTCAAGGATCAGAGTCGGAGTTTGAATTGAATCTACTGTTACTACTGTACTACTGTTATCTGTGATTGAATGTAACAATGTCTTATTTTTTCGACTACTTTTCATTTTTCGCTTCATACTGAATTCATCATCCATTCTTCTGACTATCCCTCTGTGACCGCTCGTACCTTGCAGAACTCGGCGTGCAGGTGGCCAAGCAGCGGCTGGCTCTGCGCCTCCAGGACGCGCGGGTGCGCGTTGGACGGGCCGGGGCCCATCAGCGTCTTTAGCGGCACCACCATCGGCTCCTGCAGGCTGACCGGCGACGGCACGTGCATGGTGGCGGCGGTGGTGGAACGGGCTGATGTCTGAGGAACGCAGAGAGATGGGTCGGTGAGGTGAGGCGAGACAAACTTGAGAGCGGACATCGTCTCGGATCATATATAAATTGACAGAGATTCAAGCTACCACAGAGCTCAAATTGCAAAAAAAGGGTGTTCAAAATTCAAGCTCGCGTTTTTTTAATTCAAGTAGCGTCCAGCACCACCTTCTCGACCCACGTCACATGGTCCGAATTTCTATCGCCGCTCTCCTGTTGTATTCTCAGCGTCCCTGCCTAGCTGCTCCCCAACTGTGCGTCCAGTCCATATACAGTATATCTACACTCGTTAACCGATGGCATACTCAATGCCCATGCCGATCGATAGCTGAACGTACAGTTGTGACAGGACAGTTGCGTCACAGGAGCCATATGGCGCGGGCGACGCATTGTGATATCTGAGTCTGAGTGCACCTATTGCGTGGATTTCGTAACTGATACGGACTTGTGCACTGTACACCGTGCAGCGCTCTAAATGCCGTACATGGCACAGCCGCACAGCCAGCCCTTCTAGCACGTATCGCAAAAAATGCAAGCTTTGGTGAAGCAGAGAAACTATCGTGGCGTCCAGCGCATAAACCCGATATCATTCATTAGGTAATTAACCTATCATTTATCTAAAACATAAAAAAATGTCATGCGTCCTGTTTGTATTGTTGGGTTAGGCCCTTTCGGTCCAATGAGACCATTTCAGAGCCGGGAGGATGATAGGATATAGGGGGAGACATTGGTCTGGGCAGGCACCCTAGTGAGTCGCCGGGGCTGAGCCCGTCCAAGGACAGGCCACCCAGCCCCAAGGCACTCACTGCACCCGGCTACGGGGTGCGCTCCCTCAGGAGCAACGGTGCCGCTCCAAGGGAGCAGCCCGCATGAGATAAAGTTGCCTGTCCAGCCCGGAGGGGGTTGTGGCGTGGAGGAGAAGGATTTCTGTATCCTGAGGATAGAAGCAGGGAACGGTGGTCATGCGTCCTCATGAACTTCATGAACTTCACAAATCATTTCACAGAAGCCCCAACGACACAGCTGAAAGGGCGTTAGTTCGGCGCGGTACCGGAGGGTCCAGTTTTAATTCCCTTTTGTTCGTAAGCTAACTATGTAAATTTCCCAAAGCAAGCCTTCTCTGACCATAGCCCACTGGTCTGTCCAATGTTTCTTGTTTACCTGTAGTGCACGGCAGCGGTACGGCAGTCCGGGGTCGGGGCACCGCGGTGACGGCGACAGAGGGGCAGTGGACGACCCTTTCACCAACACCGGCCAGAGAGCACTGACCGCTCGCACCCGACAGGACCGCCCCGCCAGACACCGTATCAGCGCCGGCATGGCGGGTGGGTACTGAGCGGCAGTCGAGGCACCGGGCGAGGAGCTGAGGACACCCAGAGTGAGGACGGTCACAGAGGGAGGAGAGGACATTCACAGATATATGAGGCCGGCTATTGAAGGAGAAGGAAACTCTGACGGTCAGCTAAGGGTCGGTCAAATCGAGGACCATCACAAATCGAGGACGGTAATCGGGCAAGAAAGGTGATCATGAAAATGATAACCATGATAGAGGATGAATGAACACCTAAGGGTCGACAATGAAATTTCTCCAATATGAATTAGTGCGGAGGCTAGCTCGTGTTTGAATCTTTGCTCTTCAATGACAGACTTCCTGTGCGAAAGTTCGTCAGGCTGCTCTTTGAAGCGTGCATAAGAATGCTATCGACTAAACAGCGCGCATAATCTAGACGGCAACCAGACGCACCACCATATTCCATCACGGATAAAAAGTAGCCCTCCCGAACGAAGTTAGCATAAACAGCGGCGTGAAAAATGGCCTTGCCCGCACTTGGCAAGGATACATTTCTATCTGATGCGACTGGCTCGCATTGAATGTGCTTCGCAGGCTCGGTAACTTGCACCACCTATTAGACACATGAATATTAGTTATACATAGGCGTGGGTAACGTATGCCAGCTGAAGGATACTTATAGTTTATAGTATACTACCTAAGAGCATCTCTATTCAATTAGATAATCTGCTGAGTCACGGAGCATCGGTTGAACGGTTAATGAAACCTCACCGATCTCCGGGCTAATGGGAGGCGCCTTCGATACAACCCGTGAACACTAACAGACCTGCCACATTTCAGTCACTTGTCACCTCCCTGTCACCCCACTGCCCCGCCCGACAACACGTCTGACACCCAGCAGAGGCCCGTCCCCGCCCCCAGTCGACCAGACCACCACCCAGCCCACGCCGGGAACAGGTCTACCCGGGCCAGACAGATGGTATCTGGGCCTTGACACGGCCCAACACCGCCCCTACCGGCCTCTACCGGGCCTCAGAGTCCTTCCAGGCCAGTCACGTGCGGTGAAGATACGACCGGCTCCGGGTATCGAGAGAGGTTACAGGCGACGGGCTATTGATATGGCAGAGGCGGGAGCAGTTTTTAGAGCACGGCACGGGAGAAAGGACAATGCGATGCATAAGTAAGGACTGAGACGTCCTCACTCATGCATCAAAAGATGTCAACGTACTGGGAGACGTCTTTGGCCTTAAACTGTCAGTGACGCCTTTAGGCTGACAATTATTATGACATACAAGTTCACGTAATAAAAGTATAGTGCCTAAAAAGACGGAACATGTCACTTGCTTGCTGCTCCAATCGTCCATGTCGGTATTTCATATGAGCCGTTCTCGCCCTATGATTGTGACCACCAAAGAATCCAGTTGGACCCGCTCAGGAGCCGTTAGGAGAGGCTAGCAACAGCGACAGGCACCCTGAACGGATGGGTAATGTCTGGTACGGAGGCCACGGCACAGAATAAACAAACGGGGACCATACAACGCCGCTGAAGTCTTCCAAGTCTTTCGCTTGGTAGCTCTAGCGGTCTAAGAAAGACTACAAAATCGTGTACACGTGCCTGACATGCTGGTGTGATCTTAGTATGACCTCAGCTGTCTGTTACCATGATCTCTAAAACACTCACACCCACCCGTGCCACCAGCCGAGACAGGGCAAGGAGGGCAGGATCACTGGAGAGGAAGGACGATGAAACGGTCCCCAGTCCCCCCTCCGCCGCCGTTCTGCATATGCGGTACGTTATCACAGCCAATGACCGATACACAGACAGTCTCAGCGAGCACACGTGGTCACGAGCGACTGCCTGCCGGCCCCGAATCCGCCGGTCCGTGCTTAGCCATGGGCGCAGCCAGCGCGAAATATCAGGCGGAAATATCACCGTGGACTCGCGAACCGTAGACCCACAGCACCGCGCAGTCGAAATCCCCTGAGCCAAGCTCTCAAGATCCAAGTATTTCCCACTTGAGGGAAGACAGTGATTGGTAGATATTGGTGAGCTAGCCCTCCAACGTACTTCTCTGAAATTACCCCGTGGTCACTCACCTATGATTCTCCGTCCTATCTCCGCGGCAGCGGGAGGCAGTCGCTCGGGCAGTGGGCTCGGTACGGTGCTCGCCGTCCGACGAGCCACACCTCCCGTCCGACCAATCACCGTCCACCGTCCCCAGCAGAGGACCAATCAGAGAGCGGTACGCCGGTGACGTGCCACCGCCGCGGCCCGGTCCTGCCAAGGCCGAGCTGATGGGTGAGCTGGAGCACTGACATGGGGGCCACGGTCACATGATACGAGCTGCGTAGTAACTCTGCATGAATACAATCGGAACGAGAACAGAGCATATAACGGGAGGTGTAGGGGAGGGAGCGACAAGGGGCGGGGATCATGCGGGCGCAACGCTGCAAAGTACCGGCGATGATGATTGACGGCTCAGGAGGGTGGGTGAAAATGGGAGCAGTGCGATAGATATGACATGTGAATTACCATAAACAGATCCTATGTTCACGTTGACCAACGACAGGGTATGCGGTTTTACTAACTAAACCTAAAGCGTCCGCACCTGAACTTCCAGATGGCCTCTGAGGGCTAGAATAAAGGAGCCCTTTTTTAAGGCCAGAAACCGAACGAAAGCTTTGAAGACAGCCTCCAAGATACAAAAAAAAAAAAAAAAAACAAGTAGAATGCTAAGATGACTTAATAAGCCAATAAACATCTTGCAAAGCTAAAACATACAAACACAACCCTAGAGTGTCCAACTTACGTTCGTCCGCAGACCCAATGCCGGCCAAGCCCGTAGAAGGCCTAGATAGTAGATGACGCCACAGCACGTATCGTGGATAGGTGACGCGACAGGGCCTAGTCGCTCGATGAAACTGAGCCGTGTCAGTTCTAATAAAGTTGTGGTCACAGACAGTAGACCCATTCGGAAACGAACACAAGTTCTGCCTAAAAATTCGCTTCTATGCTTGATCGTCAATGTTGGAATAAGAGTCGCATTTTTTTCATGGTCTCTTCCGCATCCATCATTTACAGGTGGTATCTAACTGTCTGCCAGTGCTCAGTTTTCCGACAGTTTACAGGTGAGGCACCCATAAAATTTTATGCATGAATTATATTGACCAAAGACCAGGCCATCCAATGGTGGTTCCAAGTAGTTACGATATCACATACTGTTCAGTCCATCAGCGAAGCAATCACATTACGAACTTGTTACTTGTTGCAATAAATAAAATATAACTCGCGGCACAACCATGTCATGAGCACCGTCCTTATTTTCACGGCAAGAAGTTAACGAATGAGTGGAACACTTATCACCCAACTCAGAACGAGCCAATGAGCACACTCCACTCGTAACTCATAACAAAACCAATTGAACACAACTGGAAGAGCTAGTAGCAGCGCAATCACTTCATCACTAAAACACGAAGTTCAGTGTTCACATACGCATCAATGTCTGACAGCGAACTCCTTGTAGGCCAGCTCGGCCACGTTGTGCTCGTTGTGGAACTCGCATCGGTCGATCTTGGACTGCGGGCTACCCTTCTCACTCAGCCAGCGCTTCATCCGCGCCACAGCGTCGGCGGGGCCCTGCACGTGACCTTGCACGGTGTCGTGGCGCGTGTTGAGACACCACCCGACCAGACCCAGGTCACGTGCAGTGCGCTGCGTGTACTTGCGGAAGAAGACGCCCTGCACGCGTCCGAACACCTCGAACTCCACGCTGACCAGCGGTGACATGGTGGCACTCTTAGGCTCGGAGGAAAGCACAGAGGGAGATGCCAGAGATGGAGGGCTGGCTGGAGTGTACCAGGTGAAAATCACAGCCAGGAAGCCAGCCAGAAGGGTGGCAACTGCGGTGGTGAAGAGAGTGGGCTGCCAATTAAATAGGACTGTCCTGAAACAAACAGAACAGGGGCAATGAGCACATTGAGCAGTTAAGTTGTCTGAAACAGGCAATAAGTACATGATTGTATCTCAAGGTTCCCTAACCTTAGCCTTATCAACATTATAGTTAATATTGCAACTTAATTAAATGTGACTTCAGTAATGAGTAATTACAAATTAATTTGCTGGAGAGTAAAAGTTCATGTATTAAGAGGATATTCTATAATGATTTCAGCTCAGTTCCTGAAAAAGCTGCCTTCATATTGGATATGAAATACCAAATTGAATCATTTTCTCAGGCAGAGAAAGTTCCAAATTGAATAATTTACTCAAGCAGAGAGAGTTTTGCTCAAAGATGATGTTCCATATTCAATTTTAAGTATATATCATCAAAAGGACATTCTACATGCTGAGGAGAAATATTTTAATACGAATTGAACTGCACTGCTGCGCTGCACCTGTTGAAATGAGTGCAGTTTTACTTTACTTCAGAATTCAAGAAGAAAGAAGAGTTGAGTGAAAATATTGGTTATGAAAAGTTGAAAATAATGCTTGAAACTGGAAACTATTTCAACATTTCAAATGAAGTTTTATGCTTTTCAAGCAGACAAAAATTAAATTGAATTCAAGGAATAATTCAAAGTTCGAGTTTAGTTTGAGTCCAGGAGTTGGATACATTTCCTGGTGCACCATGGATACTTTTCTGGGTGTACCAATCTTCACATTGTAATCGTAAGTGTGTAAGCATTTAATCTGAAGTGTTATTCCTAATTATTCTCTACGAGTCACAAGATATACCTACCTTAAATGGGAATTTATGGCATTCAACATTCCTCAATACAATTTTCAGCAAGTAAGCCATGTCAAAAGGGTTATGAAAATGACTCTACCAGTCCATATTTATCATTTATATTTCAATTTAAATTTGATTCATTAATCGCATAGCTTGAGCAGCGACAGGCTCCAGTCGGTACCTAACTAGTATTCAAGCGCAGTTATTGCATATAACACCAATTACAAAGCAAGAAACCTGTGCCTTAGGAACCTATCAGAAACATAAAATATTTCAGTGGAACAAATTGAAATACAAAACCAAAATGAAAAATGAAAAAAGGCCTACCTTCCAACAGCGTCACGATCATTCTTGTTTAGTATCTGTTGCGCCATGTCTGAAACGAAACTCAAGGTCATTTACCAAGATTAAAAAAAAAACGCCAACATGTTCTGTATATATTCTACTAAATTTACGTAGTTGCTCAACTTCTACTTTCATTTTGACCAGTTCATATCTCTTCATCATATTATTTTTTAATATCAAATAGCAATTCTTCTAATTCTATCCAACGACAGCGCTCAAGCTGTGGTCAGCTGCGGTATGGTACGGCTGCGCCTGCACCGTTGACCGCTGTGGCCTTGGCCCCGGACGTCAACACGGGCAGTCAGTAGATTGCATTGCAGTGCCCTTTGCTGATGGCTTCTCAGCAGACAGCAGCGGGATGCCTGCTGACCGGTGGGCGGTGACACACGAGACGGAGGAAGCTCGCCTTGGTCCGACCCGTGCATCACGGTACGGAGGTAGGTGGCGCTGTGATCGCGGAGTAGGGCCGTGAAGGAGCGCAGGGGTGTTGGGTGCTGGGCGGATGCGTGAGTTCGAGGGGACACGAGGACAATCCAGGCCCGCCCCCAGGGGTGAGGTGGCAAACCATATCCTGCATAAGGTACAGGCTGCTGACTTGCTAAGACTAAGAACACCCAGGGGTGGAGATCTGTCAAAATGTCAGGGGGGCCGGGGGGGGGGGGGGTCCAGGCCGGGCAGATGGAGGCGGGCTGGATGCAGTACCATTGACTTACATAGCAGTAATTCGTTTTCAGGGGGGTCCTGACCCCCCACCCCCCGACCCCCACCCCACCCCGAGATCTCCACCTCTGAGAACACCTCAGTCCGCTGAGAGACTCTCAGGCTCGTCAGTTCCTCCTGTCACCTGACCTGATGACAGGTGAGGGTGACACCCCGACCCCGGGGCCCGGCCGAAGACTGACTTGGACAGTTAGCGTATAAGTCTTAGCTCGTATTGGGCTCACCATTACCTACTCAGTTAGGGGCGGCCCTAATCCGCGCTCATCCCGCCTCCCGGGTCAGTGGCCACCAAGGCCCTATACCTATACCGTGGCCACGTGTTCCTGTTCCAGAGTGACGCCTGCAGTCGCCTATCCTTTTCAAACGGCCAGGGAGCGTCTGCGTGCCTGCTATTGCATTCGTCACCTGACCTCTGGGGCACTCCCGAATCCCGTCCCAACAAGATGGCTCGGTCGCTGCGGCCGCTGCGGCGTATACCATTCCGTGATCGACTCGGCTCAATATCAGTTCCTTTATCATGCAGTCTTGAAATAGACATTGAATTTCAATTGTCTAAGTCGATCGAAAGGCTACGGATAAAGTTTCATGCGACATACGATGATACGTTGGTCGGCGTCTCTTGGCCTCCATTCTCTAGCGGCGGAACACCTTCAATTCACCTGCTATTGCACTCGTGACCTGACCTCTGGGGCACTCCCGAATCCCGTCCCAACAAGATGGCTCAGTCGCTGCGGCCGGTGCGGCGTATACCATTCCGTGATCGACTCGGCTCAATATAACGCAACGCCCCTAACTGAGCAGTAATCGCCATGCACTTTCAGAATGTGGATCGCTCATGATTGTTCAATACAATACAATACAATACAATACAATTAAGGGGTGCACTGCCGACTTTTGGTTTCATTCTTTCCATGCAACGCCCATAGGGCTAATGTTAAAATGCCAAAATCAAAGGGGGGCACGGTGCCCCGGTGCCCTCCCCGTTCCGCCGCCTATATGTTAAATCTCTACGCTTGATATGCCTATTTCTGTGTTTATCCTTCATTATAGTTCCCGGGTCTTAGAACTTGCATTGTGTCCGTGCCGGCGCCTGCACTGGCTCAACTTCGCCAGTTGTCTGCAAGGCGTCTTAGCGTGGCCAGTCCCGTTAGCTCCATGCTGACCGCCAAAGGTTGCCGTGGCCACCGTCATCGCTAACATGATATGCAGGAAGGGACGGAGCCATGGTCAGTCAGCCGCTCAATAGGCGACGATGACGGTGTTGTTTGTCAAACTCATTAAACTGAAGTTGAAACGTGGTGCTCGGTGACAGATGTTGCAGGCTACCGCATCATCAAAGGCTCCAGTTGAATAGGAATGAAGGTTGAAGAAGTCATGCAATACGTTTTACGTCAGGTGTTTGCAATATCTACGCTGGCTTGTTGATTCATCCACCCTGTCAGGAGTGAGTATCTCACATTTGGTCACGTTGTCGCAGCTATCTTCCTCGGTATGGCTCTAATGGAGGCAGTAATTGTTTTGACACACACCACAGTGACGTACACAGAGTGGCTGTGGTCGCTCCGCCAACAACTTCCGGAGACCTCCGGCGCGGGTAAGATTCGGGTGCGCGCACCACCGAGCTGCCTTGATGCTGATGAGAAACGGCGCTATCCATCGCATTCAAGGACACGCTGACTCAGAGTCACAGACAAACAGGAGACAAACAGGACTAAGATGAGTCCGTGTCACAGCAGTCGACCACTCGGGGTTGCTAAATATGCGGGTCAAATAAGGTCATGGCATTGAACGCTTTCGTAGAGCATCCCGCAGCATAGTTTGCTTTTTAGTTTCGCATGTTGACAGACCTGCGTGCTTAGAAGGCGCTCAGGAGGTCGATGCTCTTCGCACTATGTGATTAAAATTGCTGCGGTTTGTGGTTTTATCTGATCCGGAATTCACTCTGACTTTAAGTTTATGGAGCATCCTTTGTTACTCGTGTTAGGAGTTAGGACTAAGACGGACCTAGGAGTGTTAACTTAACTGTAAGTAAAGCACGCCAAGCTAATAAAGTGTTCTCTCTTGGCTTCAATTTGAAACGTTTGCCATTTTACATATATATCAGATCAATCCATCAAGTTGTCGATTCGTTACGTCTTCACGGAAATTCCCTGTTGCTCTTCTAAAGACAACACGTTCTATGCTAACAAAGACATGAAGCAATCACACAGTTTGTCACTGCAAGGTCGCGGTATAGTGTGCTCATTGTTCACACTTCCTGATTATTTAGCGGCTCACAGGCCAGCTGTGGCTGCGCCGCTGCTGCTGAAGTGTTTGTGCAGTCTCACCAAGCAGATGGCGCGGTCGCAGGGGCCTATGCAGAGCCTTGGGTAGCAGCGACCGCCGACCACTGAGACGCTCGTTACTTCTACCACTGCCACCGCACGCCCCCGCCCTGACGGCGGCAAATGAGGATCACGCGATCTCAGCAGCGTCGTGCCGCTGATATCAGCCGCTCCCACGGCCGAACTGATCAACAAAGAGCGCGCCACGAGGCTGGTACGGAGCGGATCATTGAAGAGCGCGTCACTTCATCGATGAATGTGGCGCAATGCGCCTTGTTGACACGTGCCAGCGCCCAACACATCTGCTGCTGTAATGCAATCCGTCCTCTTTTTGCGCTTCTGCTTTGGTATCCATTCCTTATGTCAGATCTAACACAGGCAAAGCCAAAGATTCGATTGTGAACATTTCAGCTGCGGTGCTGTCCAAAATGACGGTGAAGACTGAACAGAGACATGAACGTTTAAGTTGCAAGTAAAGGCAAAAGCAGTCCGCTATAGGTACAGTCCACAGCAGAAGTAATGTGGGGTTTCAGTCATGGGTATGTTCTGCTTCTGAAGCTTAGGAACGATTAGCCAGACTACAATGAAACTTTGAATGTAGCTTATATGTATCGTCACCCTTGCAGCTGCAACTTTAGCTATTGACATCTTCTTTTCGATCACTCCGCATTAAACAATCGCCAGTCAAAGCCAACCGTTGAGATTGGTAAAACCCTACATTACTTTAGCGGTGGGCTGGACGTAGATTATAAAGATACTCGTAAGTTGCAATTCGTATAGGTATGTTTGAGGTTATCATTTGCGTGGGAGAAGGAATTAGGAAACTGAATGAACGGCCCATGAGCTGACCGAGACGGCTGGCTGTGCCTATAAGGGAACCGCCTGTTAACTGTTTAAAAGTTAAAACCGAAAAAGTCCGCGTCAGATGAAACACTCTGGACATTAATGTCTCTGCTCCGCGCACTAAAAGGGAGCAGAATTTGACTTTGCCCTGGTTCAAGGTCTGCACCTTTGACGAAGAAAGCCATATATCATGAGCTATAGAGCGTTTAGGTACTGTCTGGAGCGAAATATACGTCCGCCCTATTGTTCACTTGAAAAGGTCTCAGTTGCTCCGGGGCGCAGCAAAAGTGAAAATTCTGTAAGATCTATGGGCACATAAATCTGCACCGCTGAAATTCCTGTCTGACAATTTTCGTTCGCAATTATCTGTCTGCTATTATCGGGTTCGGAACGGCCTTGCCCAAGATTACTTTACTACTCGCCTTGCCCTTCGTGCAAAATCCGGCATGGTCGATTTTATTGCTCGAGCATCTGCCGTCACCATGGTTACCGGGCGTCTGTTGTCTTGTGCGGTCATCACTCCCAGCTTGCAAGTTGCAGAGCTGGTCTGCCGGTGTTAAACTGGCATAATTACCTCCCAACCCGCAGCGGCCGACCGCCTCGTTTGCCGGAGTATTGAACAAACCGGTTTGGAGCAGCGCCCGACGACCGGTCACGGCAGACCGTCCGTGATACCGCGTCAGCAACGTCAGTGTCTTCCCATACCGTTAATGAGATCAAAATGAACCCCTAAGTGTGGTACTTTTGACAGCGATCTTATTGGACCGTTTATTTTAACGACAGTTCCTGCAGATTGTGGCCGTATTCAGAAACGGTACCCATTATGATTTTATTGATAACAGCCCCATGATAGGCCAAGAAAAACCTCAAGCTAAACGTCTGGGACTACTTTTTAGTTCCGTCGTGTGTCTTCTTAAATCCCTTGTTCGAGATGAAAAACTCTGAGGTGTCGTGTAAAATATATTGTGCGTGTGATAGTCTGATCGCTTGATCAGCTCTTAATCGTGCCGACACACCTACATACTGATAAAGTTTTGACATTATTCAAGTGACTGGTGTATCTTACAAAATGTTTACCCTTAT